CTAACCACCCACCTTTGATTAGCAGCTGAATGAATTAACCACCGCACTGCCAAAGCTCCTATAGGTCTAAGCAGACAATTTATTTGATCAGGAGTCCTTAGATCACAGGGGTCTGGGTGCTAAGCCTGCTGTGTCACCCCACACTGATGGAAGCTTTTATTAGTACCACACACACACACACACACACGCACACACACACATTTTAAATAAAGGTGAGACTGCCAATGGAAAAAGCACAGAGAAGAGAAATGAAGACCTTGAGTGCTGGTTCTAGCTCCAGCCCCTCAACTGGGTGGCCTTGGACATAACCAATGACCTCTTATTCTCCTTGATTCTTCATCTGATGTCACACTTATTTGGGGTGTTATATAAAATGAAATAAAACGTGAAAATACTTTGGAAAGTTTAAACCACCTATGGCTTCTGGGCATTGGCTTTTCTAGAAAAATGGAGAAGGGCAGGGCAGTGGTCTGAGTGTCACAGATGGGGAATCTTTTTATATATGATATGTGACATAAGCTGAGCAAAGGATTGAATAAGTGGTTGGTACCCACATGAAGCCCCCAAAAGGTCTATTGAATTTGGAGCCAATGCTTCTTTCTTCTTGTGAGGTTGGAAGTGGCTTAGCAAACAAAGACAGACCTTGCTGTGGCAGTTTGGAATCAGAAAACAAACAGACATTAGTGCTCTGAGCTGTACCAGTCCTAGATCTAAAGCTAGGATAATATAGATTGTGTGTGTTGTTAGCTGCCAGGCAGTTGGTCCCTGACTTGTGATGAGCCCATCCACAATGGAACAAAACGCTGTACAGTCCTATACCATCCCCATGATTGTTTTCAGATTGAACTGTTGTGATCCGTAGGGTTTTCACTGGCTGATTTTTAGAAATAGAGAGCCCCGTGTTTCCTTTTAGTCTGTCATGGTCTGGAAGCTCTGCTGAAACCTATTCAGCATCATAGCAACATGCAAGCCTCCACTGACAGGTAGTATCTGTGCATAAGGTGCGTTGGTCAGGAATTGAACCCAGGTCTCCTGCATTGAAGGAGAAAATTCTACCACTGGACCACCACTGCCTCATATTGTATGTGTATCTATCACCACCACTAAAATCACTGACATCCCCTGCCTTCCTCCCATCCAGTGGAGCTCTTGATGAGCTTCAACAAAACCCTCAGAAAAAGCCCAGAGGGCTTAGGCTGAGGTTTGAGGGAATTGCTGTTGTTGGGACAAGACATGGTGAGGAAATTAAAGAATGAACTCTATAAAGTAGAACTGTATTCTGGGCATGGCTTTTGGGGACTTCTGAAAAGGCTTGGATGAGTATAGAAGCCTGCTTTTCTTGGGAGGTGTTTATTTTGGGTCATAAATGCTCTGGTTTGTTTCTTTTTACACTAATGTTGACCAAACCAAAAAACAAACTCACTGCCATCAAGTGAATTCTGATTCATAGTTACCCTCATTGGTTTTCAAGGCTGTAAATCTTTATGGAGGCAGACTACCCCATCTTTCTTCTGCAGAGCAGCTGATGGGTTCAAACCACCAACTTTTTGGTTAGCAGCCAAATGCCTTAACCACTATACCACAAGAACTCCTTCTAACATTCATGGTTGGCATCAAAAGGCATTCCTTCCAGATAGCATCTTCAGTAACAGCAGTGATTCCCAGGGTCTCCTCCCCTCTTGCTTCAAGTACCAGCTGCCTTTGCTGCATTTACCCCAGACCCACCTTCCTGAACATCTATGGAGACACAGCCCAGGATACATGACTATAGGGATTGTACAGGTGTGTCTTCACTATTTAGGGTCTTGACTCCCTTACTCCATGGGTTCCCAGGCTCTTTGAGTGCACCACCAGTTGTGCACCACCAGCTACACAGAAAATTATATTCAGTTGGCTGGACCAAAATATAGTGCATTGCCTTTATGACTGGATAAATAATTAGCCCAAAGAGTGCTGATGTCAGCCTAGTGGGCAAGGTAGGAATGATGAACCTAGAGGTCTGTCCTTGGTTGTGCTCAGTTTATATTTGGATATTGAGAACATGATGCTTGTTAGGATTTGTAGTGGGGACATAGATCATGTCTCAAAGGTCCAACGTCCAAATGGACCAAATCAAATGAGGAGGAATTCATAGGGATAAAAGCAAGTTCCTGCTTTTAGGCCTATCAATACTCATGCAGAATAATGCTGACTGAGCTTAACTGAAACACATATAAAAGAACACCAGGGCTTTTAGGCAGTGCCAGTTTAATATAAAGCTAGGGATGTGATGTGGCCACAAAAAAGCAAATTCTATTAGATTGCATTAACAGAGACATAGGTTACAAAACAAAGGAGGTGAGTGATGGCCTTACTCTGTGTGCCAGCCAATTTTCAATATGATGTTCAGTTCTGACAGTCACACTTTAGGGTGGACAGTTGTAAACTGCAGTGTCAGAGAAAGGCAATCAAGATGAAAGGTGACTTAAAATCAGTTTATATAAATAACAGTTGTAGCAATTTAGCTTGAAGAGGGATTTTGTGGAGTCACGAAAGCTGAGAACATTTAAAATGTTTTCTTGTGGAAGAGTGATTTGACCCTCCTATGTGCTTCTAAAACACTGTCATCCAACAGAACTTTCTGCAGTGATGGAAATAGTTTCTATCTATGCTGTCTAATAGCTACTAGAAGCATGTGGCTTTTGAGCACTTGCATTGTGACTAGGAAATGCATTTTTAATTTAATTTTAATTAATTCCAATTAAAATTTAAATGGCCACATGTGGTGAGTGGCGATGTTTTGGGACAGTGCATCTCTAGCGGGTAAATAAAGAACTATACCATGGGTTGGCATGTTTTCTTTTCTGAAAAAAAAAAGAAGAGGGCTAGATAGTAAATATCTTGGACTTTGCAGACCACATGGTTTCTACCAAGGAGTTCTGGTGGCATAGTGGGTAAGGCATTGGGCTGCTAACCAGAAGGTTGGTGGTTCAAATCTATCAGCCGCTGTGCAGAAGGAAGATGGGGCAATCTACTTCTGTAAAGATTTATAGTCTTGGAAACACAATGGGGTTTGCTATGAGTTGGAATGGACTTGATGGCAGTGGTTTTTTTTTTTTTTTTCTTTTGGTATAGTCTTTACTGTAACTATACTCAGTTCTGCTATTGCAATATGAAAACAACCACAGACAGTATGTAAATGAGAGAATATGGCTGTGTTCCAATAAAAGTTTATTTATGGAGACTGCAATTTGAATTTCAAATCATTTTTACACCTCAAAGTATTATTCTTTTGATTTTTCAATGATTTAGAAATGTAAAAACCAAATCCAAGCCATACTTGGCCAGTTGGCTATATTTAGGTGTAAGCTACAGGGATGCATGTAGTATTCATTCAATAAAGGAAGGTGATGCATTAATTCGAGGTGGCCAGAAATAGAGTGAGCATCCTCAGTAAATGCTGAGTTTCTTGTTCCTATAATGTTCAAGACAGGGTGGATAATAACCTGTCTGGCAAGGGATGATATAGAAATGTGTCCATTTAATACAAGTTACACTAGAATTTTCCTCTAACTCTATTGTTGTTAGCTGCCATCATGTTGGTTCTGACTCATAGTGACCCGGTGTACAACAGAACAAAATGCTGCTTGGTTCTGCACCATCCTCACAATCATTGCTATGCTTGAGCCCAACTTTGCAGCCACTGTGTAAATCCATCTCACTGAGGATCTTCCCATTTTTTTTGCTAATCCTCTACATTACCAAGCATGATATCCTTCTCCAGGGATTGGCCATTTCTGACAATATGACCAAAGTGTAAGAGGTGTAATCTGGCCATTCTTGTTTCCTTAAGAACTTTCTGGCTGTACTTCTTCTAAGACAGATTTGTTCGTTCTTCTAGCAGTTCATGGTGCATTCAATATCGCCAGCACCACAATTCAAGCTCTGTAGGAGTATTGAAATCAGGATGACATATGACTGCTTTACAGTTACATTTACTTTGTAGAGGGAAGTCAGTTGTTTTCCCTCAGTTGGTACTTACTCTCCAGCCTATGTTACTAGAATGGGGTCACTCAGGGGATGGTGTGCTGGATTCATTGCTGCAGAAATTCTTCCACATGTTCTGGGATCCCTGGGATGTGCCTCAGTGGGGGGAGTTAGTTATGTACATTTACATGCAGCCCAGGAGAGACATGCTGATGGTACCCAAGGCCTCCATCCTTCTAAAAGAGGATACTCCACTGGCCAAATACCACTTTGTCTTCCATTGTCTCTCCCTGCTGGGGACAGTGTGGCTGGGGTTAGGAGTGGTCTTGGGAACTTTCATTAGTTCTTTCCTGTGGATGGGCCATCACTTACTCTGTGACTAAGGAATGTCATCTACAAGATTCTCCCTTAAGTGGGGAAAACATTGCTCTTAGGGGCTATGAGTCTCTTTCCAGAATGAACATTAGACCAAAATCCAGTGGACTGAGCTGCCACACAGTGACTGTCTGGAGCTGATTGTCCATTCTGTGGACATTTGAGATCTGGTTATTATTATTGTCAATTCTCCTTCCTCCCTCCCTCCCTCCCTTCCTCTTCTTTTGCCTTGCTTCTGTCCATTTTACTTCCAATCAACATCTCTGCCAGAAAAAACAAAAGTAAATACCCTAAACAGCCCTTTCTGTAAGGAGAGAAGCCAAAATTACTGATTTGAAGTTTCAAATCTTTTGCGCCTTTATTCAAATCCTAGCCTGTTACCACAATAGAGTTTTTCCTCCATCTTTGTAAAGCACAAGAGGCTTAAAAACGTTTTTATGTTGGACATTTTAAAGCTCACACAAAAGTAGACAGAAAAGTATAGTCAACCCCATGTGTCCATCACCAGCTTTGATAGTGACCACTCCTGGCCAGTCTTGTTTCATCTACCCTTCTTCCTCCCACCTATATTATCCTGAAGCAAATCTACAGGAGGCTTTGGAAAGGGTGCATTGCCTTACCTATGCACTAACATCTTGGTTCTGCATATTCCATTTCAGATCATTGCCTTTGATGAGTTAAGGACGGATTTTAAGAGCCCTATAGACCAGTGCAACCCTGTTCATGCGGTAAGTGTGGGTGCTAGGGATGGGAAGGATGATGTCACCACAGGTCACCCAGGGCCTGGGAAGGAGGGTGAGGATTTTGACAAGTATAAGGAGTAAAGGAAGAGAACATACCTTGGCCCTGATTATGACTCTGTACCTTGCTTGAGGAGACTTCTTATTTTGGGGCCCTGCTGAGGTCTTGAAATATCTTACAAGTCAAGTGTGGAAAATCCCAATAACCCAGCTGGGAAGGGGCTGCTGGATTGGCTGTTGAATCCTCAGGCCTTTTTCTCACTCATCTTTGAATGAGGAGAGTGGCCCCATGTTTGCTCACATGTTTGCAGGGGCTTTGGGCTCAATAGTGGCCTTCCCCACCTCTACTTGGGTGCCAGGCTTTCTCAGATGGAGACTTGAAGGGAGGGTTGATGTACAAAGGTCTTAGCCCAGTGTGCATTTATCTGCCCAATATCTGCTGGCCAACATGTGTTTATCTCAGGTACCTATGTGGTCCTGTGGGCAGCTCACCTCCCACTAAGGACTTGGATGCAACCTGGTTGCCCTGGTCCAGGCTCAGTATGTGGAAGAACACCTGCCCCAGTGTGCACAGCTTCCAGAACCCTGGTGCTCCATCATGCTTCTCCTCAATCAAGTCTCTTAAAGAGACAACATGGATTAAGTGGTGAGAATATAGGCTTCCACAGCACTGCTCTGCACTGCTCTGCTGCCCCTCCCATCTGCCTGGACTTTTTCCTGTTACAAATAAATACCAATCAGTATGCTGAATTTCTAAGCAGTTTTGAATGAAGCCTTTTGGCTATTTAGATTCTAATTGGGAGCCCCTGAAAGGCTATAGAAGGAGAGGCCTTAATTCAGGGAGACAAGGAGGACATAGTCTCTGTAGGGTAGGAGTGGGTGTTGTTGCCTGACTGCTTCTCTGGTCAGGGTAATCCATGTCCCAGAGACAGATGTTAGCCATGCATTTGGATAGAGGCTTTTGTAAACTTTTTCCAGGCCTGCATTCTAGGTTCAAGATGGAGCATACACAGTTCACATGAGTGTATTTCTCAATCCAAGCTTACTGGTCCTGTGTTTGGTTGAAGTTCCATCTAGGCCATGGTTCCCAGTGCAAAGGCAAGTTTTGTCTGTTGAATGGCTTTGTTGTTATCTTTAGTAGGAGGTTTTAGAGAGAATACCAGACTCTATTAGCATGCTATCATTTTAACCTTGAAGGTTTATGGCATAATTCTTTAGTAATAGGGACAAAGAGGTCTATTCTCCTTTAAATATAAGCCCCTTGAAGAAGGATATGCTCTTAGGGAGGTGACAGAAGACCATTGTGGGGGACCAGGACTTTATTCGTCTCTAGAAAATAAGGGCTCAGGGTTATTATTGGAGTGGTGATTTTTGAGTTTTTACTATGTGCTAGAAACTTTATGGAGTTACTGGGTGGCGCATACAGTTAAGTGATCCACTAGTAATTAAAAGGTTGATGGTTCAAACCCACCCAGAGTCACCTTGAAAGACAGGCCTGGTGGTCTGCTTCTAAGAGATCCAGGCTTAAAAAGCCTATAGAACAATTGTACTCTGCACATGTGGGGCTGCCATGAGTCAGAGTGAACTTGATGGCAACAACCAACAACAGCAACAAGGAACTTTATATACATGAACTATAATCATTACAATCATTATAATCATCTGCCAGACAGGTGTCATTAACCCAGTTTACAGACCATGTAATTGAGACTCTTGTCAAGGGATTCATAGGCCACAAGTGGTGAAGTCAGGATTTGAACTCAGGTCTGTTTGTTTCCAAACCATGTGTTCTTACCATTTACTCCATGTTGTGTCTTTATGAGATATGGTTCTGTAATGTTTGAGACTCCTTTTGGCATAGATTCATTGATTCAATGAAATGGAGCCAAACTCCAGTGAAATAGAGCCAAACTCCAATGAAATGGAGCCAATTTGTGTTGCAAGTTGAAAGGATCTCTAAGATTGACTTGAAAATTCATTACATTTTGTGAAACTTATAATTACTAAAATCTATTTCATGTCCATCTGAACGACCTCAACACCTACCTTTGATAACTTGGATCTGTCACACCTGAAAGGATTTCATCCCAGCTCTCATTTCTTTCTGGATGTTTTTGTGTTTGGCACCAACATGACACACTTGGCTTGTCCGTATCTGCCAGGTGCACAAAGCTGCCCTAGTCTGAGAGCAGGCTTCCCTTTTGGAAGTGAGGAAGTCAAGAGTCTCCTTTCCTTCATTTCAATTGTAAATTCTAACTGGAAAGCAGCCTACTTAGAACATCTGGAGCTTTCTGATATGATCCCAGGGTAAGTGGTGGGGGGGGAAATTTGTCCTGCCCTTCAGTCCCATCACACAACTTCCACCCTGGGTTGCAAGGGATTGGTGGTACCATGAGACATTTTTGTGGAGTTAGTTTCCATCTCACCATGCAAGTCCCTTCATTTAGACAAAGAAAATTATGGCAATTAGATGTTCCATGAGGAGCTTCTGTGGAAGGTCAGCGCAAGAACAGAACCTGCACAGAGTAGGCACAATAAATATTTGTTGATGGAGGAATGCGTGAATATGGAAGGGTGAAGTTGTCTAGCATAGAAGCTAGATCTCAGCTCTCCTTTTCACTCCTGAGGCATACTTTTAATTGGTTGACTAATTTAGGAACCTGGGTCCTATGGTAACCAGATATTTTTAATGGACACAGTAAACTTCTTTGATGCCCGTGGGGAAAGAACTCGTCTGAGCTTGGGAAGGGGGGAAACCAAGACAATATAAGACAACATAAAAACCCTAAATGGAAGAGTTTTAGGCATATTTCCCCAGTTCTTATGAGTTCCTCCCTGGAAGGAAGTTAGATGCTTTGGAGACTTCACCTAACACATCTTCAAGCTCTGCAAAGCCCTGGAAGTGGCATTTCAGGCTCAATTGGCTTGAGAAGCTACTTTCCTGGGTGATAACTTGGGCCTTGAGAGGACTCGTGTTACAAATTGCCCACCAGCTCTGGTAGTGTAGTGCCTAAGGCACTTGACTGCTAACCAGAAGGCTGGTGCTTCAAACCCACCAGTCACTCCTCAGAAGGAAGGTTGGGCAATCTACTTCCATAGTGATACTGCCTCGGAAACCCAAGGAGGGGTCACTATGAGTCGGGTCTGACTTGATGGCACGTAACAACAACAACAACAACATGCTGAATTTCTAAGCATATTTGATGAGGCCTTCTGTCTATTTAGATTCAAGAATATTATTGGACTTGCTGGGTGAACCCCCTTTTGGAGGAGGAGGGATGCTCTGTATTTCCCCTTGTTCCTTATGTTAATTTTCCTCCCTTCCTTTACTATCTGGGCATTCTGTATCACTTTAAAGCACTGAAAGATCTTGTCCTGCAGAGGGTCTGGTGCACTGGGAATGAGCTAGTGTGTGCCCTGTACCCCCTCCTTCATGCCTACTACTTCATACCTGTTTTGGTTATCCTCCATTCAGGCAGCCTCTGTGCCCAGCTCTGTGTGCATCTCTCTGTGTGCATGTGTGTTTGTATGTATGTGTGTCAGTGTGTGTGTGCATGTGCACATGTGTTGAGGAGGATGCAGTCTGTCTTCCTCGCCACATGGACACTAATTTGTCCTGATGTGGACTGATTCTCTGGGCTTCAAAGATGCTTGGGAATCACTATATTCATGATTCAATTAGGGAAATTGAAGTTTCCCAGCCACCTGTCCTCTTCAGATTCAGGAGGAATCTCATTACCATTAAATCTATGGCAACCAAACAGCCTGGATAATGAAGCACTGGAGGTACCACAGCTGTGTTCAGCATAGCCTTGGGAATGGTCAGAGTCACTGCAGGGGAAGGGAGCCCACATCGTTTATTGGCGATGTGAACATTGTCATCTGCCTAGCCATAGAGCAGCTTCACTTGGCTGTGAGCCAGACTCTAGGGATGAACTTGGACTTTTTGAGAAGTTTTACCCTGAGGGAACTCTTGGCGTCTAATTTAGTGGGCAGAGTGCTTCCTCCAAATACACTTATTTTAGAAAAATAAAACCATCAGGAAGAAAGTTTGTCTTCCTTAGACACTGATCAGGGCACATTACTGTTCTTTGAGACCCAGGGTGGGCTGACTATGGGGGGGTTTAGGAAGTTTAGTGAACATGTGGGGCCAGTTCTTCAGTTTGACCGTCTTATGGTGGTTCAGTGGTAGAATTCTCACTTTCCACGAGGGAGACCCAGATTCGATTCCCAGCCAATGCGTTTCAAGCACAGCCACCGTGCCCCTGGAGGCTTGTTTGTTTCTACAATGCTGAGCAGGTTTCAGTGGAGTATCCAGACTAAGATGGTCTAGGAAGAAAGGCCTGGCAATCCACTTCAAAAACCAGCCATTTGAAACCCTGTGGAATCACTATGGTCTGATTTGCAACCAATCATGGGAATGGTGCAGGACCAAGCAGTATTTCATTCTGTTGTGCATGGGGTTGCCGTGAGTTGGCTGACTCAGCAGTAGCTAAAAACAACAACAGCACATGGTATATGGAGGCTGAGAGGCTTTGCTTGTGGACAGAAGTACAGAAACTAAACCCAAGGAGGGGTCTCTATGAGTCAGGTCTGACTCGACAGCAAATAACAACAACAATAGGCCCAAATGGCTGAGAGGAAAGCTGAGCCCACTCTGTTGCTGGAGAGTTCTGTGACTACCAAATGACTATGACAAGGTGGAGGGAAAATATCTGAGTAGGAGTGCTTGGCCATATGGCCAGGAAGGGCCTCTGATGGGTTCTACCTCCTCCACTGGGGACTGAACGTGGGGGCCTCTCATACTTTTCGGTGAAACCCCTAACCCCTCTCTTTTCTCTCTTGTGCACTCCTGATAGAGGGAACGGCTGAGGAACATTGAACGCATCTGCTTCCTTCTGCGAAAGGTCAGTGAAAGAGCTCCTGATGGAGGGTGGAGGGTCTTGGTGATGGATGGTCACAGTCAAAAGAGGTTGGTGAGACCCAGGGCCTGCTCCAGTGCTATCTTGTGGGAAGGTGAATGGTGGTAGGGGCAGAGGAGGTGGGAGCAAGGGATTGGCTCCTTGGAAACCTCCAGAGACAAGAGGAGCTAATTAAAAGGGGGGACCATCAATCACAGTGTCAGGCAGCACTGGGTATTTGCAAGTACCCTCTGGTTGGATTTAGAGGCTTTTTATCTTGCATGGTGATAGATGGCTTTAGAGTTGATGTAGCCTCACCCCCTTTGTTCAGTCTAGTACTGGGCTCAGGAATGCTCTCACTTCATGTAGGGACGTTTTTAACTGGATACTGGGTTTCTTTTGAGGTCTCAGCCTGTCATTCAGCTTTTTAATTTGATTGGCAGCCTCATTGGGAGCACTGGAGGAGTGGGAGGGGGAGGTGATAGGAGCAGAGCCATTGGGAGAGTTGCTCTGAATGGATGGGCTGTGGGTCACAGCTGCCCTAAACTCATTCAAGAAGCAAACACCTGCATGCATATTCATGTGTGCACATGCGGCTAAAGCTTGGTATCTGATACAACTCCATGACATGGCTAGGGAACTTCTGTGACAAGGAGACCAGCTTGTCACTCTGCAGTCAGGAAAGTGTATGCTTTTAGAGGCAAAGTGTAGAGAATCACAACTTACAGATAAATTAAACAGCATCCATAGCCTTTTGGCAAAGAACACCCCTGACCTCTGTACTGAGTGGTAGGCTACAGGCCATAGGAAAGCCAACTGCCACCTGTGGGCCTCAAAGGAGCTTGTTTAGTTTGGTTTTTGAATATTTACACTTTTATTTGTAAAATGTATAAAGCATCCCTGTTACTTAGGCTATGGGTTTAAACGCATTGTAAAAACTAAAAACAACAATTTATGATGGAAATAAACCACTTCAAAGGACAAATTTTTAAATTTTTTTGTGCCCTTATGTGCCCACGAGAGATACTACGTGCTATGCCAACATCAATAGAAAAGAATTTTTGCAAACTTTTGACCTTTTACTTTCTATATTTCAATAATGATACCTTTCATTTGGAGAGAGCGCTTAATCAAGAATCAATTATTTTTTTTAGCTAATTACTTGTCCTTTAATGTTTTCTAAGAAACCCAGCAGGTTAGAATTCTACATCTTGGATTTTACAGCAGGCAAGTGTACTTGGTTGGATGAGACTTGCATATGAAAATGCTAGTGATCCAGGGAACGAAGAATGACTAAGAAAATGATGTATGATGTTTGACATTAAGAGTAATTCATGAATTTGTAAATTGTTTTCCCAGATAAAGGAGCTCTGGTGGCACTGTGGTTAAGGCTTTGGGCTGCTTAACCAAAAGGTTGGTGGTTCACACCCACCAGCTGCTCTATGGGAAAAAGATGAAGCAGTCTGTTCCTGTAAAGATTTATAGCCTTGGAAACTCTCTGGTGTAGTTCTATTCTGTTCTATAGGATCGCTATGAGTCAGAATTGACTCGTTGCCAGTGGGTTGTGGTTTTTCCCATATAATATCTTAGACACACAATCTACTCCAACCATCTCTTCCATATAAACTGGAAGAAGATTAAATCATTGATTTGTCTTTCAAACTCCAAATTATGCCCCCCCGCCTTTTTGTCATCCTTAATGTAGTATCAGGAGCCCTCATAGTGCAGTGGTTAAAGCACTCAATTGAGGTCAGTGGTTTAAACCTACCAGCTGCTCTGCATGAGAAAGATGAGGCATTCTGCTCCATAGAGATTGCAGCCTTGGAAACTCTGTGGGGGCAATTCCACTTTGTCCTATAGGGACACGATGAGTTGGAATCAACTTGACGACAATGGGTAATATAACACCTGGAGTTCCTGGGAGGAAAATTGAAGCTAGACATGAAAGGACATGAAACACTGACTTCAAGACTTTTAGGTGTTATAACTGCGCATGTTCATACAGTTCTATAGCTTAACAGTTTTCTAGCTCCCACGGGGGCTGCTCTGAGGTGAGGAACATTCCTTAGTAAACCTGAGACAGAAACAAGCCTTGTGCTTTATTTCCTTGTGGAATCTTCCCTCTTCCCTCATTCCTCTCCTGCAAGCACATCTATTCTTTTAACATTGGGCCCTATTCGTTCTTTACTGCTGTTTCTGTGCATCCTGGGTACTGGTAGTACTGTTTGTTGATGTCAGCATGATTTCTTTCTGAATATAATTTCAAATTATTTGCACTCCTGAGAGTTCAGCCGTCAAAGACTTCTGTACCTCATTCCTTAGCTGATGTTGGTAATTCTCTATTTATTCAAAGATTCATTTAAGTACTGGGCATGTAGGGCTGTCTACTCCCAGTAGAATGTAAGTTCTGGAAGGACTACAGCTTGATCTGTTCACTGTCATATCCAGTGACATAGAGCATAGAAGGATGTGCTGCCCATTGATGGTGTACAATAAGTATTTATTAAGTAAATGAACAGATGCATGCTAACTTTCTGACACATCCATAATCTAAATCCTCTTGTTGGGAATACTGGGATAGTCAATAATCTTTGTTTATTTCTTCAAACCAGTAGTGTCCAGGACATAGCCCAACATGTATATATCTTACTACATTTACTCTTTGTATCAGATTTGTCTTGTAAAATCAGTTTTAACTCTATATTGTATTCAATATTGACATAGAAAGTCTCCAACCTACAGTTTCTCCTGTCTCATTACTTTTCCTTTATGTTTATGCTCTCTGATCTATTTGTGGCCTGTAATTTAACCTTAAGAATATCATCTCTTAGCAATTCTGGTCCCTCCAATTGGAGAGGTGGTTCACGGTGGTGGTGAAGTGTGCAGGTGTCTGCTGTTTCCGAACTCTGCCTCTGCCTTTATTAGCTGTATAACCCACAGCATATGCCTAAGTTTGACTCAGAGCTGGGGTTGATAATAACAGTACCCCCTCACAGAGTTGTGAAAATTAAATACATGTGTATCTAGCTTATAAGTGTTCTGTATATATTAATTATTATTATTTAAAGGAAAAAATGCTGTCAAGTTGATTCTGACTAATAGTGATCTTATAGGACAGAGTAGAACTGCCCCATAAGGTTTCTAAGGCTGTAATCATTATAGAGGAGCCTTGGTGGTACATAGGTTAAGTGCTTTGCTGCTACCTGAAGGTTGGTTTGAACCCACCAGTAAGCAGCTCCGTGGGAGAAATATATGGCAGTCTGCCTTGGAAACTCTATGGGGCAGTTCTACTCTGTCCTGTAGGGTCATTATGAGTTGGAATCAAGTCGACGGCACACAGCAACAACAAATGTTTATGGAAGCAGACTGCCACATTTTTCTTCCATAGAGTAGCTGTAGATTCAAACCACTAGCCTTTTCATTAGCAATTGAGTACTTAACCACTGTGCCACCAGAGCTCCTTTATTATTTTATTAGCTTCTGCCTAAAATCCCGTATAGTGTCCTTAAGCACATGCTTGATGCTGAATCAGGCTGAGATAATTCTTGGCTGGAGGCATTCCTCTTAGAGCCTCCTTCCATTGTCTTCTTGTTGTTGTTGTTGTTATGTGCCATTGAGTCGGACCCGACTTGGGTTTCTGAGGCAGTATCACTACGGAAGTAGATTGCCCCATCTTCCTTCCGAGGAGTGGCTGGTGGGTTTGAACCACCAGCCTTCTGGTTAGCAGTCAAGTGCCTTAGCCACTATGCTACCAGAGCTCCATTGTCTTAGCTAAGTGCCATTTGGTAGTTGAGCAACCTTGTGAGGTATATGACAGGCCTGGGGCTCCTCCTTCCTGCTTCTCTCATTTTGAATGAACTTCTGACCTGGATTGGTGTTTTGGGGATGGTGAGGAGGGTCCATGGGTCTAGTTAGCATCACCACTTTCCGGAAATTATACCTTCCAAGAAATTTCTTGGAACTAGTCTCCCAAACACCCCAGAATGTGATGTATCTCAGCAGCGGATTGCTGTTAAACCACCTCCTCGCTTTCTCGGGAGGAAGGAAGGGATTTTTAAAGTGGATCCATTTTTAGCTCTATAATTATCAGAAAATGTGTTCTTTGGGTAATTGTCTGAACTGCAGGATTCTTGTGTTGACTTGTGTTTATGATTCGTTTTTCATGGCAAGAGCCACTTGCTTGTCATTCTCCTTTCTCCAGTGGAGTATGTTGTGGGCTGTGTGGACCAGCCATCAAGTGCAGGCTGGGGAACTGGGAGTAACATGGAACACAGAGCTGGTTTAATGCCTGCTTCCAAGCACATAAACAGTCCTGGGGGTAGGAGACTGACCAGGGACTTCCAGTTGCATTGCCGTTTTCTGAGGACATTTAGAAGAGATGAGATTAAATTGGAACTCAAGAGATAGGTATGAGAACAAGTAGAAATCTTGTTTATGAATGGCAGTTGTTAAGCCATGTTATGTTGTTAAGGGATTGCTTGCCCTGAGGGGCTATGGAATGTTCATGTCCTATCAACAAAATTGTTGTTAGGTGCCATCAAGTTGGCTCTGACCCATAGTGACCCTGTGTACAATAGAACAAAACACTGTATGGTCCTATGCCATCCTCAAAGCCCTTGCTGTGCTTGAGTCCATCATTGCAGCCACTTTGTCAATCCATCTCATTGAGGGTCTTCCCCTATTTTGCTGACCCTCTCCTTTACCAAGCATAATATCCTTCTCCAGGGACTGGTCCCCTCTGACAACACGTCCAAAATAGGTAAGACAAAGTCTGGCCATTCTTGCTTCCAAGGAGCATTCTGGCTGCACTTTGTCCAGCACAGATTTGTTCATTTTTCTGGCAGTCTGTAGTATTTTCAGTATTCTCCTCTAACACCACAATTCAAAGGCATCAACTCTTCTTCGGTCTTCCTTATTCATTGCCTAACTTTCACATGCATGTGAGACTATTGAAGACACAGTGGTTTGGGTTAGGCACACCTTAGTGTTCAAAAGTGACATCTTTG